TGTATTTTCTTCTCCTCTTACAGAATTGAATAAAATGAGATAATTAGTAGATACTTTTTGAAAGGTTAAATTGGAAAATAAAATAAAAATAGCGACCCCTTAGTTTTGAGCTATAGGGCTCATGTTAAGCGAGGATTTTTTTACATCAAATAGAAACATTTGAGGGGGTAAGAGTTAAAAAAAAATTAAAAATTTTGTTTGAAGCACCTTAGTGCCTACACTCTACAGTCGAAACAACGCCACTGACACTAATTCCTTAACCCCTATCCCGGTATGTTTGAAGAAGTTTCACTTCAGTAGCGTATTGTATAATTACACGTTGTATTTTTTTATTTGGGTTCAGATTGCTGTAAAACTAACTTAATCCAAGCTAACTTACTGCACAGTTCTGTTATTTCGCTGCTTAGAATTATGAGATTACGGTAGGAAAAGACAACACGAACTAAATTTCGATTGTTTTACTTACTTTTTTTTCAATTTTCGGAAACTATGCGCTAAGCGTATACATATATTCTTGATCAGCACATTGAGCAGTACAATACACTAATGCTTCAAAAAAATTGGAGGTGTGACCCCTAAAATAAACAATTGCCAAACAAATTTTATCAAAGAGGCGCATCGAGATTTCGATATCTTATTAGATTTCATCAACGCACCATAGGCTGCCTCAATAAATATCTGACCAAACCAAAGAAGCTGCTAAAGAGCGAATTGATGCACTGCTTCTATTACGATATTTTATCAATTTCCTTATATTTATATACGAATGGCGTAGAGCATCGAAGCAACATTGAATACTATAAAAGTTTAGACTCCTCCACTTTATTAATCCCTATTCTGCATGTAAAGCATGACAATTAATAAGAGGTCGCTAAAAACTTGAGAAAATTGTTGCAATTGTAAAACGGTATTTATTTAGAAATCTGAGTTTTCGGTAAACCTGAATATTCTATAATAAGATGAAGAACAATCAAAATCAGTACAGAAATGACCCGTGTTTTCTAAACATACAAAGTAATATATCTCTGATGAAGCAGCATGCAGTTTATTTAAAAAAACGTTGACAAATTGTAAAAAGAAATAGTCGGCACCCTTTTATTTATTTAAATTTGTTATCATTCTTAACACACCCGTTTAGTTGGGTTTCTCACTTCTTTAGTTACAATGAAGAACCAATGCATTCGCAAACTAAAACAAAATTGGACTACTTACCACAGTTGCATATAATAAAATCACGATAATACTAACTACTTATACCTAAAATACGTAGGCGAACGTACGATCATTAGTTGCTTGGAATCTTCAAAAACTACAACCGAAAAACCCGAATCTATCACTGTTGTTATCTGTTAATCTCCAATAATAAAACAACATTTCGATACGATACGATATAAAGGTACATAGATGTGCCAAATACTAAATAATGTCATAAACAATCACGCAAAGTATAAAGTAGCTTGATAAGTGCACGTTAAAGACTTTTGTATCATGTTAAGTTTAATTGTTGATTAATTTATAAGTCGATGATGTAAAATAATTTGTACATATTAAACCTTACCTAGAACTGTTTATATATATATTATACATACACAATGCATATTTGCTTTTTTAACTAAACGTTGTTGTTTGTAATAATATTTGCATAATACTTGCAAATGTCGCAGTTCCACATATTGTTTTACACAATTCTTATGCAGTTTTAATAAAAATCAAGCAATACTGAACTTCTTTTAATACATGTAGATAGTTTGCAATTGCCACATTACCTACAAGAAACAACACATCAGTTATTTTCTATTTTACTTCATAATCCATGAATATAAGATGTTTTAATAAAAGATATATGTACTTCATTTACTTTCTCTAGCGATGTGCCCCTTCCAATATCTTGGATGCGCGCTGACAAAATCGTAGGTAGGGAGAAAAAAGCTCATTATACTCTCGACTCTTGTTCATTAAACATACTTTTTCATACAGTACCTACCAAAAATTTTGTTCAATCATGAATAGTAGTGCGAGTAGAAAACAAGCGTTAAAGCCTTTAATATGTCTTCAAATATAAATAAACATCTCGTTGATATTTTCAGTACCAAATGGTACCAATAACAGTACATTTGAGCAATGCAATTGTAGTGGATAAAATGGTCAATTTTTCCGTGCAGTACTATACGGATTATACGCTCCTCACCGGTTAAGAGTTTGGCCGAGAGTTGTCTCCTTTCTTTTCTGGCCTAGTGCTGTTCTTTTCTACTTTACGCCGGTCAAACTGAAAGTCACATCCCTACAGAAACTAAACGAGGTATAATTCTCCTTCTGTATCCATCACATATTTCGTAGCAATACATTCTTCACAAAAAAGGTTTTAATTAAATACACTTCTGACTGATGGTATTCGTTAATTTGTTATGTATATAAAATGGATATTACTCAATAGCTCAAAAATACAAAAGCTCGCGCCCCACCTTGCTAAGGCAAAGAAACAAAAAGAATTGCTCCAGGAAAGACTTAGACACGTATTCCTGGACTGATTTAAAATGAGAGCTCGATGTTCTATACAAAAACAAATTAAGAACTGGAAGAAATTTACTCAACTTACAAAATTTATAAACAACCTCTGAACGTAAAACAATGCCCATCTAAAGTTGGAATCGTCTTGAGGATTTCATACTGACTTTCTTTACTTGATAAACGAGGACTTCCCGATAGGGTAGTAACAATTCAATAAGAAGTGGTCCCAGATTATATGAATTTGACTAATAAATATCGTCCACCAAGTGTATCCAAGAACAACAGTCAAAACTTCACAATGAAATATTCCCAGAACTTCAAATTATCACCAGTTCTTAAATGGAATTACAGGATCTCTTCCAGTATTTTGGATCCAGGATGCTTACAAAAGATGTTCACACTTCTTTACCTTACATAAGTATTAGAAACTCATATTCTCTGGTAAAAAACACCCTAATCTAAAAAACCTAAGGGGCTTAATAATACAAAGTATCAATTAATTAAACACCTTAAAATTCTAAAAAGAGCTCATGGGGAAATAATATCAGGATTAGTCAGTGACTTTAACTAGTCTAGAATATGTTCTTTGACAAAGAATTCACAAAGGCGAAGATGGTTTTGTGACATTTTCAATAAATTCGTAGTCAATATATTCCGCACTGTGTTGACGTATTCACAAATACGAATACAGATTACAGACTTGGATAATAAGAGAAACTCTACTCCCTTTTATATCTAAATGATCAAAATATAACATGACCGACAGAAATCGATTATTTAATGTGATGGAATTTGTAGTGAGCAACTCAGTGCAGTAATCATATTGATCACAAAAACTTGTGAGAACTTACGATCTCCAAAGCCATTGTAGCAGCTACTATAATGCACAAATCTAAAGTTCAGTCTAATTCCCCTCCAATCTACAGTCTAAACCTCTAAACTCTAGGGCATTTATCGCCCCCCTTTAGAACTCCAGCGCTCATAAAAAGGCGTTATCGTCCACTTTTAGAAGGTATATAGGTGCACCAAGTGGCAACGGAATGTGACTCAACCTCAACATAAATCTTATTTTTTGAGACAAAAATTTGAAATTTGGAGTACAAGTAATATAAAAGAAGATTTTGTAATACAAAGTTAGTTTCTTTTATTCCCGATTTCACCGGAAGTAACGTTAACTTCTTTGAATTCAGTAAAGAAGCATATGTAGCGACAACGCAGTCGAACAAAGGCTTAGTAACGCTTGTTACATTAATGGAATATTTTGTTAAATATATATAACAAACGTCAACATTTAAAATAGGAATAAAAGTCTTAATTTTAACTAATTTTGTACCATAATATTCCTATACACATTTAGATGTAGACCGAGATTGGAAGGTAGAGGAAAGGGTAGACACGCGAGGACCCCAGAACGTATCATTACGCCACTGCAATAGCAGCTTATTTTTACGATCAGTGTTAATATGTAAAAGTCAAGAGGAAGTTTAGATGTGGGAGCAAAATCTTAATCCGAAACAAATGACTCTTAAAAGCATCGTCATTAATAAAGGTCAGAAAACGAGTTGAGCAACCGCGCATCAATATAATGCGGTTCTCGGTATTTTGAGATGTCAACCACAAAATGTAAAACTCTTGCCTACGAGCTTACCGGATGCGTACTGATTTACTGCGCAGTGTACGAAGTAGCACAATTTGGTGACGCTCTTACGTCTTGCGCTATACATTAAACTAATTATATTGGCCATATAGTTATTACTAAACAAAAATAGTTATCTAAAAAAAAATTATAAACCTATTATTAAAAACAGTATCCACCAAATTTACAATTCATCATATGCAAGCCAAACACAGCCAAAATAATTATATATTATTGGCATACATCCCTAAAATAACCATAAAATATCAAAAATACTTACTACATAACGCACAAAGAGCTATTAAACACTTAAAATAAATCTCAACTCATTAATCTAAAACGCCAATACCAAAAACAGTTAATTGAAACGTAATATATAAAATAAACAGCACGGACTGCAATCAGACATACATCGGCCAAATAAGACAATACATAAAAAATGTGTATATAATAATTGTAGTCTAAAAAACGCAAGTATAACAAAAACAGCCCTATCAAAGATGTAATAAGTAACCCGAAATTTTGGACCAAGTGACCAATTATAGTATTAGTAGTAAAATAACTTCCAAAATCTTTTTAAAACACCTAATTCCAATAGAATTATACTTTTATGTTTGTTAATTTCAATCTGATGATGGTTAAATAAACCGAAAAGTCACATATACAACATTAGTTAATCATTTCTGACCGTCACCCTGAAAAAAAAAAACATTAAAATAGTAATAGTTACGTCACATTACTGCATTAAGTCGGTTATTCAAAGAGTACGACGGACTTTCTTCTTAATTAATTCCGGTGTCGAGCATTTAGCCATTTCTTTAAAAAATATGAAGTGATGACTATAATCTATGGAAAACTACTTTTAACTATTTATGTACTTAACCTGTAGAAATGTTTACAAAATGAGTATTATGTTCATGTTTTAAACTACTGTTGTAAAATAGTGTTATGGAGACAGAAACGATTGTAATTATAAGATGAACATAGATATTAAAAAAATTCTTTTTAAAGGATCAGCGTCAATATAGTACTAAAATGAAAAATTATTTTTTCTTAAAATTTGCAATATGTTCTGTACTTCTCTTTATTTATTGTGAGTGGTTCAATTACTATGTTGTTCTTTTTCAAGTAAGAAAAATAATCACAAAACAATATTTTACACTAATAACACTTTTTGTAGTGTGAATGGCCATCTCTTGAATATGTAAATCCAACTTCCTCCAAAAAGAATGTGCAGCCAGTTAAATTCATGGTATTTACAGATACCCATTTACTTGGATTCAGAAATGGACATTGGTTTGATAAACTTCGTCGTGAATGGCAAATGTATATGACCTATAAAGCTGCACTATATCTCCATGCACCTGAATTGGTATTTGTTCTAGGAGATTTAACTGATGAGGGCTACTTCTGTAGTCCTGAAGAATTTGATTATCATGCTAAAAGGTTTTATAAATTATTCCCAATGTCAAAGCATACAAAAGTGTATGTTGTTGCAGGAAATCATGATATCGGTTTCCACTACAGGTATATTAATGAAAATACTTCTTTTATAACATACATAATTACATTATGTTCGACTATATTTAAAAAATTACTGGTTGCACGAAATGGAGAAGTAAATGAAAGGATACTTATTAATATATTTTGAGGAAACTGAGGTTGTCGTTGTCAATTGCAGTGTTACTCCTTACAAAAATGAGAGATTCATTAAAGCATTTAATGCAAGTGGTGTTCAGTTGATAACAGAAAGAGGAAATCATTTCCTTATGATAAATAGTATGGCACTAGAAGGTGATGGTTGCTCTTTTTGTCAGACAGTTGAAAGAGAACTACTCAAAATAGAGAGTAAATCTATTTTTTAACCAATTAATTCATGCCATATAATTAACTTTTTTTTGGTAGAGCTTTTAAAATGTTACAATGATTCTAATGTATGCCCACCAAATATTAAAAGAGAAAAATATAGCAAGCCAATACTTATGCAGGTATTGTAACTTTTGAAATAATATTCGTTTTTAAAAAATATTGTTCTATTGTTGAAATAAATTTGTAGTATCTAACTATTTCAGCATTTTCCTCTTTACCGCCACTCTGATAAAGCATGTAATGAGCCTGATGAAGCACCAGTACCCCTTAAAAATAGAGTTTTTAAAGAAAAATGGGACTGCCTTAGTAAAGAAGCAACTTATCAACTTATTAAGCAAATTAAACCAAGACTTGTTCTTTCTGGTCATACTCATCATGGATGTACAAGACCTTTACCTACAAATGATGGCATTGAAATTACTTTTCCAAGTTTTAGTTGGAGAAACAAAAATAATCCAAGTTATGGTTTAGTAAGTTTGTTTATTTTATGCTTTTAGTTTTATGCATATAAATTAGCAGTACACTTATATGCACATACAAAATAAATGCATATTTTCTTTTAGGCCTGCTCTTTCGTTTTTTTTTGCCATTTTTATGATTAATTTAATAAAATTCACTACTTCCAAAGTATGAACAGCCTTACAGCAGATTTATAAGTCACTTATTAGAAAAACAACTGCTAATAGCCTTTATTGACACCAAATTTGCTATTAGTAAATATATTATTTAGCTATTGGATACAATAATCAAATACTATCACTTAAATATTTTCTGGATATGATTTCAGTTTGTTGTAAGTCCCGAAAACTATGCTTTTTCAAAATGCATGATGCCTGTTGAATCCACCGTAATAAACATTTACATCGTTGGAAGTTCGGCAATAATTATGTGGTGTGTTTATAAATATTATAGACACAAAAGAGAAATGAAATACAAATATGTATAATTACAAGTTGATTATTAAACACATAATAAAGATAGGTATTACGATGCTATGTTCTTTTGTATTAAAAAGGGCTATTTTAGTACTATTTTTATGATTTTTGTATATTTAGCTGCTTGTATATTTAATTGAATTGCAGAATTTATAAATGTTGCTTTTTCATGTTGTATGTTATAATATAAATACACTTAAATTATACACGTTTTCATTTGGAATATCCTAGAATATTCGAAATTTCTCCAGTTTGGTGGTTGTATTGCTTTGCGAATTACCCATCGGTCAGTAAACATCCATTTAAAATAAGTGATAATATTCTAGAATGTTCAAGGACCATTGTGAATGAGTGATTAGAATGGTTTTCTATATGTTTTTCATATTATATTTTGACAATATTAAATAAAATCTGAAAAAAAGTACAATTTTCATTTTCTTTGCCGTATTTTTGAAAATTATCAAACAGAGAAAAGAGTTGTTAAAGATATCCAGAATAAATGAAAAGACAAACTGCATCTTACAATTAGATTCAGTTTAACAAGTAGATGCCTTTGTAAGGCCTGGTAAATAATTTTCAAACAATTGAAATATAGTTAACAGCAAATGTCAGAAGATGGCGATATACTGTCACAATTTCAGTTTGATCAATGAATTATCAAAATCGTCTTTAGCGTGCTGACAAAAACTAATAAGTTTGAAATCATGATCTACGTCTGGCAGGTGGCAGTTTCGGTAAATTACTGCCATTTTTATTTATGGCGCCACAATTTACATACAATTTGCCCTTGCCTGTGTTTCTTTAAACGCCTAGACTATTTAAACGTATATCCATGATCTACATTTCAAATCCTACAACTTGCCTACTCTCTGCGCAGCTAATGGGAAGAGCGAATGAAAAGTGGTGTGCTTAAATCTATGGAATATGTAAATTTATACAAATTAGGTCATAGACTAATTAGATGATTAGATAATGATTAGATATGGATTTAGATTGAATTAGATCTACCGCATTTTGTTCATGTTTTGTTTTACTAACATGAACACCATGGAGATTTGTTGTGGAGTACTTATGGGCATGCAGAACAGGTCCGAAAAGTTAGCCCCCCCAAAAAAACTTTTTCTTTAATTTTTATTATTTTAAGTAGCTCTAACCGTTTTTCGTAATTGTTGGTAAGAAATAATCGTGTATTCTTTCATTTATTTATAAAAAATTAAACAAATTTTCATTCTCAACTTAGCTCCCTCCTTGTAAAAAAAATAAGTTTTTTGCTTTAAATTGATCAATTAATATTCAATATCGTTTGTTCGATGTAAATGTTGTTTAATTACAATTTTTTTTAATATTTCTATTAAACCAGCATGTCAATGAGTAATGCGTAACCGTCTATGGTAAACGCCATCAGACGTATAACCTCAAACTTCAAAGCTCCTCAACGTCAATCGAGAATCACAGATTACAGATTTAAAATTTCTAACCATTTCTAACCTATTACGTGAATCTATAGTTTCTACTCGCGCACGCGTGTTAGTAACATCAATGAAAAATTCAATAAAAACATTAAAAAAATTGTAATTACACTATGAATTAACATTAATTAACATTATTTACAATCAAACAAACGTAAATGATCGTCGAACAAACGATACTGAATATCAGCTGAACAATTTAAAGCAAAAACAGTTACATTTTCTACAAGGGGTCTAAGATGAGTGTGAAAATTTGTCTAATTTTTTATTAATAAACGAAAGACGAACAAACGATTATTTCTGACCAACAATTACGAACAAATGATTAGAATTACTTAAAATAATAAAAATTAAAAAAGAAAATCCTGGGGTTCTAACTTTTTGGACGTATGCAGAACGTGTAGTTTGCAGAAGTAAAATTGTGAGATTAAAAGTGTTGGTGTTGTGGATTATGAATTTATTAACTGTGGTTTAATAAACAGAAATTATTAAAAATGAAAATAAAACGGTTATTTTTTGTTAAGATTATTACATGTTACGTGTTAACTATCTTATATTGCGAATTCATACATTATTATTTAGTTTTATCGCAATGTGATTGGCCACAAATAAAATTTACAAGCTCAACTAACAACACAACGGCTCCTCTTAAATTTATGATTTTAACAGACACCCATATGATGGGACCCAAAAGGACTGTTTGGATAGACAGAGTTCTTAGAGACTGGGAAATGTATAGAGCCTTTCAGACTGCTGTTAATCTCCATAAACCAGAAATTGTTTTTTTCTTAGGAGATTTAACAGATGAAGGAGAATATTCCAATATTGAGCAGTTTGAAGATTTCAGAAGACGATTTCATAAACTGTTTGCTGTACCTGAAGGGACAAAAGTGTATACAACTGTAGGAAATCATGACATTGGATTTCATCACAGGTATGGCTTTTAACTTTTATTAAAATGCATTAGGTATACTACTTTAATAAAGGCTTGCTTTTCAATTAAACTTGTGTTTTGCTGTGATACTAAAGTGAATAATTTTCAGTTATTACTTTAAGATTGATAGATATAGAATTTATACACTGAAATAGACATTGACTAACATATTTGTGTAGAAAGTACCTACTTATATTTTTTTTAAAATTGTACTTTTAATTTGCATGTGTTTTAGGAATGTGCAACTTTTTAATAGAAATTTTTTATCTTATGTTAGTTTTACTGTAGACAAAGAGTCTTATTTTGGAACATTACTGAAACACTGTAAGTAAAATAGTAAACTTCTCTGTATTTTTAAAATTTTTAGTGTTGATTCAAACTCTTTTGGAAGATTTATAAATGCATTCAATACGAACGGTACTCAACTGATCGAGGTTAGAGGGATTTATTTTATTCTACTGAATAGTATAGCATTGGAAGGAGATAACTGCTTTTTTTGTAGACCAGTAGAAAAAGAGCTTTTAAGATTAGAAAGTAAATTGACAAATTAGTGTATGAAAACCATAGTTTTATTTAAACATGTTTTAGAACTGTTGGATTGTTACTCCCATCAAGCACATTGCAGTCCGCATATCACCAGAAAACAATATAGTAGACCTATACTATTGCAGGTATTTCCTTATTCATATCAAGTTAATAGATATTTTGGGCGGATTTGTTCTAATGAGCATTAATTATTGTATTATAACATGCTAATGCAATTTATTTGCAGATATTATTTATTGGAGCACTACTTTGTTTCTTTTCTCTATATTTAAATTTTATAAACTTCCATCACTTATTCTAATGTTTCCTTTTTCTATACCATTCTTCCTTCTTATTTCCCATCCCTGTGTCTATTTTCCTGTTCTATAGTATTCTTAGTTTCATTCTTACTTCTTATAATAAGTATCACAAATAACTACCACTAGTAGATGTTTAAATTTAATTTTTAATAAAAATAATAA